TCGTCTAGTGAGGTACCACTGTATTATAATGACAATGACGACTACCGTTGCTGTTATCAGCATATCCTTACTGTTGTCCTCCAGCAATTGATATTCATTAGATACTGTTTGTGAAGAGAGTGGTTCAGATTAATGACAAGAAATAATCAGAGCTTGGAAGAGTTATTTTTGGACCATAACTGTTAGGATCTCCCAGCTGGCACGGGCGTATTCTTGAGCTGCAAAATTAACCTTTCAAAGCATTGTAGTGAATTGATGCATTTATCCTATTTGAAATTCTCTAATCTCCTTTAAAAAGCCACCTGTATGAGCGAATATATTTGGCAATTCTTTGGCTATAAGGTGAATGAGGATGTTTTCCTCTCTTGCTGTCAGTACCAACAACAGAGACAATACCCAACGGAAAACAATGTCCGGCATGCTTTTCTTGGTCAAAAACGTGTGAGCCAGAATTGATAGAATGTACCGGATCAAATCTCTACTGCTTCAACATGACCTCAATAATAGACGAGACAGGTATGTTTTACCCTATAGCTAGGGTGCCTTTGAGCTATTCCTCATTATGTAGATGGACTGATTTTAATTATAAAGATATGTGACTTGTACCTAGACAGAGAGATGGGAGACCTCGTAATGGTACCTTCTTTGAAATATGACTTTATTTCTGTAAATCTCAGGACTTATGTCAAATAGACTAAATAGTCTTGTTTGGATAAGAGTCACTGGCCATGAGGACTCCCCTGATCATCTCTCTCATCTTCCATATCCAGATCAGATCATGATGGGTTGCGCTTCTACGTCGGCCTGCAATTTTTTCCGGAGCAGAACAGCGTCTCTTTTGATAGAGGGCGTTAAAAGTGCTGTATGCGAATCGACAGATTCTAGGGGGATGCGATCCACCAGCTTCTCGCTTCTTGCCTTCTCTGGGATCCTACTAATGAAGTTGTTTTCCTAAGAGGATTTCGTCCGCTCCATCTTCAGCCGTGACTCCGTTATATCTGAGTTGAAGCGCAAGGAGGTTTCCCCTCTGTCTTCTCTGTGAAAATAAACACCAGACTCAAACCAAAACACAGACTGTTTTGTATTTTTTTGCAAAAGAACTCTGTTTTTAGGAAGACACGTTTCACCTACTCAGGTTGTCTACAAGTA